TATATATATATATATATATATATATATATATATATATATAATGTAACGTGTAAACGAAGGAGGAGACTCCAACTAGAAGTAAAAATAAGTCAAACCATCTAATATATATCTTTGATTTGACCTATTTAAATCTCGGTTCAACCTGATTTATTTAATAAAAAATTTAGACATAAACTCTTTAAAAATCTATATATGTTTTGGTTAATCGATATTTATCTAATTCCAAAATAGGAAGCAATGCAACATTTTGGAAAAGAGTTGCAGAAAGTGTGTGTTTCATCAAGGGTTGCAACCTTATGAAACAACACCACTTTTTTTTATTTATAAATTAAGCATTTCAAATTCAGAAAAATACATGAGACAAGTCTATCCTCTTCACACAAAATTGCAGATTTCATCTTCTTACATTTGAGTTTTCATCGATCTTGTACAAACTCGAGTATAAACTTAATTATCTTAGATATTCCTGCATGGAAACTCTAAGGCAATTTGAGAGTGCTGGAAATATTATAAAAAAATGATTCGTTCATGTTTCTAACCTTGATCCATTCGATTTAAAGTAATTTCGTAACCGTAAATCTATTGTATATTTTTGTATATGTCTTGAAAACTCTCTTCTTTCTTCAAAAAGTAAGAAATAATATACTGTATTTCTCTCTTCTATAGAAGTTAGTTATCATTATTTATAAAAATAACTTGGTTGAGATGTTTATTTTGTGATATGGGCCTCTCCTTGTGAACTAACCCTTATGTATGTTGATAAAAAGTGTGTCATTTAAATTTCTTTGTAGTTCATGAGTGAACCAAATATATTAAGATTGACTATCCCTTCGCTAGTCATCATCTTTAACCTAGAGCAATTATTATACCGTCTATCTCCTCCTCTAAACAAATTGTAGAGCAATTATTATATCTTTTGTCTCCTCCTCTATGCAAATTGCTGACTTATTTACGAAAATACATTCTATTAATTTTTTCTTTCGATTTTTTTTCAACAAACTCATGACGCTCTTAGTTAATATCTTCTGAATTTGAAAGATATATTATTATTATTATTATTATTTTTTTTTTTAATTTTTTTTTATAGTTAAGTTTTTTTTTCTAATATATAATATTTAAACTATTGAAAATTTAATCTAAGGGTTCTCTTCTTCCTTATCAATGTTTCTATATGTTTATTATTCTTAACTATTTTTTCAATCTATTTCTGATTTTACATTCCAAAGTTTTTTCATCAATTCCAATGTTTTTAAATAGTCAAACAAATAGGCAATGTTTTAACTAAAAAGTAAAAAATAAAATAACATTCATTTGATTTTGGTTCCTTCTAAACTACATTTAATATATAAAATTCTAAATATATCTTAACCATCCAAATATCATAATCATAAAGAATTAAGAAGCTTCTAAACACATCACAAAATATTTAGTTTTTAAATATAGGAATCTTTTAATTTGTAAAAAAAAAAAAAGTGTATCATTTGTGATTCTGTGTGACATGTAATGATCGTGTATTTGATCACATTGCCTTCAAAAAATGATTTTGTTCACATTAAAAGAATATTCATCGTGCATCCTTAATGATTTAGTTCAAATCCCCTAATCTCTAGTGTCTCGTAAATTGTTGATCCTTGTCTCACATGTATATCATCCTCCCTCTCTTCTACGATGTTCATCGTTTTACACCGATTAAATTTTTTTTTAAATAAAAGAGAGAATGATATTTTTATTAAATTTTTTTTTATTAAATATTGAGAATCATAAAAATAATACTCCTTCCGTTCTTTTTTATGTGTCACTTTTTAGATAATTTCTTATTTTTTTTTTTAATTGTCACTTATAAAGTTTAAGGTAATATTAAATACATTTTTGTCAAAACTTTCCTTAGATAATTATTATAGATAGAGAAAAAGTAAAATAAATATAATAAATAATTAGGGGTATTATAAGTAAAAGAAAAATTATTGCATAAAAAATTAACAATATTAATTAGCTTTTTTGGTATGTGTAAAATATCAAAAAATGACACTTAAAAAAGAACTGAAGAAATATTAATTAGAGGGTAGAGTTTGAAAATATACATTGAAAATTAAAATATATAATTTATTGAGATAATTTTTTATTTTAAATAGATCACTTATTGTAAGACATAAGGAGTATTGATTAAAAATATGAGTGACAATGAAGTGAACTAATTCGAATAAAGTTTGTAATTCGATTCGACAATTAAATCGTTAAATTATGTTCATGAACCAAATGAACTGAATATGAACAAAAAATTAAATTCGTTAATTAAATGAGTTGAACTTGAAATATATCTATTTTAATTCGTTAGATTCATGAGTCAATTCAATTACTTATGAGAAGAGTTATATTGGCTCTAAAAATTTAAAATAAGTTGTTCGTGAATTTATAATGAATTGACTTTGAGCTTTAAAAAAATTCAAATCAAACTCAAATCAAATCAAATTTTAAACTGAACCGATTCTTAAAAAGTTAAACTGAATTAAAGCGAATTCAATTTGATTAGATAAAAACAATTGAATTTTACTCCTAGGAGGAATATTTACTGATTTTTACTGTATATTTAAGAATATAACTATCACGTAAAAGCTAATGAAAGCACACACTTCAGTGTCTCTTTGCTAAATAAGTTCTAAACTATGAGCTTAGTGTGAGTAATTGAGAGAGATGATCAATTGATAAAGAAAAGTAGGAGGTTTTTGTTTATTGTGGCAGCTAAGACAAATAGAAAGTAAAAATGTGACTTAGGCACCGCCGCAATCTTGCGGTTATCCCTGCAACATCACAATATATGAGACCATTTACTTTTGAAAAGTCCCTTTTCTTTGCAATTTTTGTTTATTCTCCTTTAAGCTTATCCTATGTACGATCATCTTTTCTTCGCAAACTTGGAGTATATATTCATGTTAATTTGCAATTTATTTGCGGCATAGTCATTAATGGTTATGTTTAGGCATTTAGGTCGTCTAATCGTAAAAGTACATTAATGATAATTTTACGGTCGGATTCTCTTTTGTGAATTGTATGTCTATTTTTTTTGTGATTTTTTCTTTATATATGAGTTTTAACTCGTCTTACACAAAAGCTCATCTTAAGATTTTATGTGATGCGATTCATATGACCTTTTAATAGTAATTGGAAATCAAACTTGATTGTCTAAATCTTGGACTATGATATTCTCAATCAGTCATAAATACGTTTCTATCGTATCTCAATCAGATATTACTCTGCGCTAGCTGGGGGCATAACCAACTTGATAAATCAACTATTTTAACCCGACCTTGTTCTTCTAGATAAATCATTAATTATATAGAGTTTCTATGGGTCTGGGTTGAATCTAGTCCATTCAAGAACATGAGAAAGAAGATACCAAGTCAATATCACTAACACTAGGTGATACTCTCCTTGAATTATCATTAAACAGACTCTCATAACAACCAAAGAACCCCATCTCTATAAACCATCAACCTACTCTCCTCTTACCCCATTTTGAGCTTTGCAGACATTTAGTCCACAACTCGCACATCTTGGACATCATTTCGAGGCTCAATGACTCTCTCAAATGAGTGACACTCTCAAATAAACACCATGAAAGAAGAAAGGAAAAACACAGAAGAAATAGGATGTTTTATGGTGCCGTGATTGTTTGTTGAAGATTCGCGACTAAAGAGGGAGAATGGCGCATAGATACTTGCTGAAAATTTATAAAGTAAAATGAAGAGATGAGAAAAATGAGAAGGGGTGAAGGCTATTTATAGGTTTTAAGTGATAGACAAAATGATGGTTGCATTTAATGCTATCTTATTAGGACCGCAGAAAGTAGAAAGAGGTTATGAGTGTCTCATATTTCTAAGAAGATTGGCAATAATCATAACAAGGGGAAATGGAACGGTCAAGTGACCAATAAACATTGGTCAGCCACGATTTAAGGTTGCCGCACCTAGAAAATTAAAGCAAAGTCGCCCAAAAAAGAGCATATGTGGTGAAAACATTGACCGGTCTCGAGAAAATATTTCACCCTTACACAGCTCATACTTGAGAGACTGTGTATATGTTCGTTTTCTTAGTATTATTTAGGATAACATTTCGCTCTTACATGACTCATGCTTGAGGAGATATGTACACCCCCTTACATGACTTATGTTTAAGGGGTGGTGTACATGTTCAAATTCTTGGACGGGGTTCTTGAATGGACTAGATTCTATCTTGACCTAATGGCCGATCAACAAACATTTTTCGGCCACGATCTGAGATTGCAACACCTAGAAAATTAGAGCAAGCTCGCTAGAAAAAGATCATATGTGGAGGTATGTTGAATAATTGTTGACCGGTCTCAAAAAAATATTTCACTCTTACACGGCTCAAGCTTGAGGGATTGTGTATATGTTTGATTTCTGTGTATGCCTTGAAAAAAAATTGTACCCTTATATAACTCATGCTTGAAGAACTATGTATGTACGCCACTTATATGGCTCATGCTAGAAGGGTTGTGTACATGTTCGGATTCTTGGGCAGAGTTCTTAAATGGAATGGATTCCTCCTAGATTCGGCGGAGGTCGCTTTTATTAATGATTTGTACAGAAGAAAAAGGTCAGGTGCCACTCATAAAAAATTACAGAAAACTCGCTCGGAATAGAGCATTCGGGGAGGCATGGGAGATATTATAGAGAACATGTTTATGGATAATTAAGGATACCGAGATTGAGGACAATCACATTAAATTTTCTAAGGAGAATAGACATACAATTCACAAGAGTAAATTCGAGGGTTAGTTTATGATTGATGTATTTTGAGTATAGATTACTTTAAGAAAATTTATGATCTGCAGTAATTATTATCATTTGCATACATTGCCATAAAATGTAGAAACAGTTAGAAAATGTTCAACACAATTATTATACATTTACACATGGTCCAAAAAAAGAAAAAGCAGAGAAAGAATTGCAACACAAATGTTATGTGAAGAAACATTACATCTAAGGAACAGAAGAAACTTGAGACTTTTGAAATGGAAACTTACAAGGAAAAAAACTATGAAACCACATAAATGGACAAATCTTTGGTTTTGCAAAGAATTCAGCACACTCAATCACTGATCTTTGAAAAGGAAGATCATGAATACAATTCCTCCCAACATCAAGAACACCTCTTTGAATCAACATCCTACAAAAAGGTCCCACATGAGTAAAATAGTTATCAGACAACGAAAAATTCACCAAGTTCACCAAACCTGCACACACAATTTCTGGAACAATTCCATAAAACATGTTACCAGCCAAATTAACAACCTCAACTTTCTCGAGACAGCTTAGAGAAAACGGCAAAGGACCAGTAAGTTGATTGTTTCCAACATCAAAAACTACAGCCTCTTGAAAATAACCTATCTCATGAGGCAAACAGCCTGTTAATTCATTGTTTAGTAAAACAACTTCTGTTAAACTCGACAAAGCCTTCGGAAGATTCCTTGGTATCGGACCCACGAATTTGTTGTTAGCCAAAGTGAGTAAGAATATTGAACTTGTAGCTAAGTTTTCAGGTAACTTTTGTGTGAGAAGATTGTCATTGATGAAAAGAATCTCAAGGTTTTGTGTGAAGATCTGTTGTGGAACTCCACCAGAGAAGAAATTGAACCTTATATCCAAGAATGTTAAAGTGTTCATACCAAGAACAGCTATAGGAAAAGGACCTGAAAATTGGTTATTGCTTAAATCAAGCTCATAAAGATAAGGAAGTTTGGTGATTTGAGAAGTGATTGTGCCAATGAAATTATTAGAATTTGCATGAAAAAGAGCAATATCAGGAAGTTTATCGATAAAACCATCAAGTGTTGAAGCACTGAGATGAAAGCCATTGAAATCTATAGAAGCTAAAGCAATAGCTGAGTTGTTATCTGGTGGATTATCACAGTAGAAGCCTTTGTAGTTGCATATATCAGAACCTATCCATGATTTTGTAACACCTAATGGATCTGAAGTGATCAAGGATTTGAAGTTTTGGATCACTGGATAGACTATAGCAAGTCTTTGATCTGCAAATACTAAAGACTGTGTTTTGAGCACAAAGAGCATGCACAAAGATGAAAACAATAATTTTGCAAGGATGCTACTCATCCTTTTTCTTTTTTGATTCAAAAATAGCACTGAGAAAGAAGTGAAGTGTGTTAATTAGGCCAAGTTTGAAGTTGCTTTTTTGTTTTTGTATGTATATAAGAAAAATGATTGGGATTTGGGTGGATAGTAGTCCAAAGAAAGAAGTGATATACACATGGTTTGTGGTTGGTTATATATTATAGCTATAGCTTTTGCACTACTTTGTGGTTTCGTCAGATGCACGTCATATTAGATTATGGACATGATATATATAACAGTATTTTCCATGACTGAATTCTTTTGTATTATCTTTGATACAAAGAATGTCAATTTTCTGTATTAGTTGCTCAAAAGTTCGCTTGTGGTGAGGATGTACGATCAGATATAAACAAATAACCTCAAAATATATTTATAACTTCATCAAATATCTGTATGTGTGACAAATTATATCTTGACAAATGGTGTATCACAATATTTAGAAATAACAAGGTTCATTAGGGTTATTTTATTTACTCCGCTATAACCACATGCAATCGGGTGGACTTTTTAAAAAAAAAAGATAGTAATCGGTTTTTTTTAAAATGGGGAATGTTGGTTGATGGTGTTGTGGTTGGTAATAAGTTGATTAATTTGGCAAAACGCTCTAAAAAGACTTGCCTTATTTTTAAAGTTGATTTCGAGAAAGCGTATGATTTAGTTAGTTGGAGCTTCTTAGATTATATATCAGATCCAGCTTTAATGATAAATGGAGATTTTGTATCAGAGCATGTGTGTTTTGTGGCAATTTAGTGGTGCTAGTTAATGGCTTCCTAACCCAATAGATTAATATCTAAAGGGGTTAAAAAAGGAGGATCCTTTAGCTCATTTTCTCTTTCTCCTAGTGACTGAAAGCCTTAGTGGATTGATTAAGAGGGCCACTGACCTTAGTCTTTTCACAGGGTTTAGAGTCTGATCCTTTAATTTAGAGATTTCACACTTTCAATATGTCGATGACACCTTAATCTTGGGAGATCCCTCGGTTGAGAATTTGTGGTCTATTAAAGCGGTTCAAATGGGGTTTGAGTTAGCTTCGGGCATTAGGGTTAATTTTCATAAGAGCAATCTGATTGGGGTTAATGTTGACCTTTTCTTCTTTTCCTTAGTTGATAATTTTCTCCATTGCAAGATTGAGTTTCTTTCCTTTAAGTATCTAGGGATTCTAGTAGGTTTCAACCCTTTCTTTGAAGTCTACTTGGGAACCTCTAGTTAATTGATTTGAAAGAGACTTCACTCTTGAAATCATATGTATGTGAGTCTAGGGGGTAGAGTCACCCTTTTTAAGCATGTTCTCAATGTTATTCATGTGTTCCTCCTTTCATTCCTAAAGAAGCATGTGAAAGTATGGAAGAAGTTTGTTAGAATTCAAAGGATATTTCTTTGGAGAGGTGTGAAAGGGGATTCTAAGATCTCATGGGTGAGATGGTCTGATGTGTGTGAGTCTAAGAAGGCTGATTTAGTGCTTCTAGATAAATAAAGATGAAATCTTTTGATGGGTGCTTTTGGGCTGTGGGTTGATATCATATGTTAAATTTAGTGCTTCTAGCTAAATAAAGATGGAATCCTCTGATGGGTGCTTATTGGTTGTGGGTTGATATCATGCTTTCAAGGTATGGTCACTCCATCGTCACCTCCTTGTGTATGGGTCAATCCATGTAGTCCACAATCAATAAATTTAACAAGAGAGAATGCAATTTCCCCTTATTCGGGATAGTTAGGTTCTCTCTAAGATGGTGGTATTTTCTTATCCTAGAGTAAAACTTCGTCTCCTTAGTCCTATAAGTGAATGAACCTCAGTCGAGTCCATAGATGCTTGTTTACTTCCTATCCACTCATACACTAGAACATCAATTAGTTTTGTTGGACAAATGACTCCAAACACAAGATGGAGAGGGGATGGATTGTGTTGGTTTGAAAAATGATGTCCAATTAAAAATAATTTGATGAATAAATTATTTAAAACACTTTTGTAAATTGAACAAAGAATAGACAACAAACTCCATGTTGTTTTGCATAATGCAGTTAATCCCAAAATGACTAATAATGTCCCTTTTTAACAAATTTTGGCAAAATAACTCTCTAAGCACAAAACAATTAAGTATCAAAGACATACTTAGACAAACACTAGCAGCTGAAGAATATCCATCAACAGAGCATACAATAGAAGCACAAATCAGAGCATAATTCATAAATTATGAGGTAGTTACACACACACACACACGCACACACACACACACACACACACACACACACACACACACACACACACACACACACACACACACACACACACACACACACACACACACACACACACACACACACACACACACACACACACACACACACACACAATATCATGAGTTTTCTACACACAATGCTCCAAAGTAATAGACATGCAATCATTCAAGATGAGTTAGTAATGCATGTATACATGGTTAGTAATTCGTAGTTAGGGATTATAAGTTACTATTAACACCACTATGCAAAAAAAGACCTTTAGCAGCGCTGCCTAAAGTGGCGCTGCTAAAAGTAAAGACAACGTTTTTTTAAAGTAAAAAACGCTGCTATAGGCCCATTTTTAGCAGCGCTTTTCCAGAAAAGCGCTCTCTTCCCCCCCCCCCCCCCCCCACCTTTAGCAGCGCTTTTGAAAAGCGCTGCCTAAAGTGTATTTGCTGACTTTTTAGCAGCGCTTTTGCAAAAAAGCGTTCTCTATTCCCCCACTTTAGCAGCGCTTTTGAAAAGTGCTGCCTAAAGTGTATTTACTGAATACCTTTAGCAACGTTTTTCTTAATAAAAGCGCTGCCTATTCCCCCTCCCCCCTTTAGCAGCGCTTTTTTAAGCGCTGTCTATTCTCTCCCTTTTCCCTCCTATAGCAGAGCTTTTTGGAACACTCTCTATACCCCCCTTTTAGCATCGCTTTTTCAAGAAAAGCGTTGTCTTTTCTTCGCGTCATTGAATTTTTTTATAAAAAAATCACTTTTTCATAGCGTTTTTTTGGTAAAAGCGCTGTCTATTTTTCATATTTTTTAGAAACGATTTTTGTTAAATTATGTTGCACCATTTTTTATAGTTTTTTCCATAAACCTGCTTATAACAATTACATTCACCACAGGCCTTTATTTCAACACTTTGGCCTTATATATATACCATAATCATTGTAATTCAACACATAAATCTGCTTATAATTCAACACATTGTAATTCAACACAAGCCGATCCTTACAACAACTTCACAAATACATTCACTATACATATAACTACAAAACAGATAACTTCACAAATACATTCACTATACATATAATTACAAATTCCATATTTTCGGATCCTCACAACAACTAACTTCTAGATCGAAGTATATCAACAAATTCCAAAACTACATACGACTTCCAGAAATATAATTATCCAGTAGTATGTACATAACATCACAACAACACAAATCTTTATAAATTCCGATCAAAAGACAGAAATACAATATATACCTTATACAATTCTCATCTCAAGAATTTATTGACACCATTCCTCCTTAATTTCTTCCAATTTGTCTTTCGAGTAAGTATCACACTTGAATTCATCAAAGTACTACATAATATAACATAATATGCATGATTTAGTTATAAAACTAATTACTCGGATGAAATATCAGTTAAATATTAAAATAAATCATATAACTTATAAATCCATACCATGTTTAGAATCTCTATTTGACCCGAATGAATAATTTCCTTCATAAACCTCAATACAAAATATCCACAATCAATCCCATTGCATTGACGAGGACACTGTAAATAAAAAAAATAAACGAATATATATCAGGATATATAGTTTAACAAGCTTTATCAAGTAAAATCACTATAACAGTCAAAATTGTGAAAATATACTTGCACTATGATTCAGCTAATGTTGTTAGCCTTCCTTTTTAGTACTGTTGCTTGTCTTTATGATCAGAATATTTTTATAGCTCTAACATAATATAAATGAATATTTAGGACAATCTCATATGATAAATAAAGATAATTATTCAGAACAATATATCTCATCACTTACGTATCAACCATATTCTTCATATTAGGATATTTTGTTTGATTATCATCCAATGAATCCAGATAATACACTATTTCTTTTATCGGATTAATCGCAACCAACAACCAGTGTCCACTGTAAAATAAGACAAAAGTTTAGACGAAAATGTTATATAGAATGACAAAAAACGAATAATTATAATAAATGAAGTTAGAATGAAATCTAACTCATGGCCAGTATTAGTTATATGGCAAAAAATACAATTTCTCTGTATCTGTGGCCATAAATGCTCGGACTAAGTAATCTCTGACTACATCTGGAGTGTGATCGATTGACCGTGCGTTGATACAACTAGAAGATAAGAATGTGAATCTCTCTGTCAATTGATGCGGGACCAACAACTTGTCATACAAGAACCTTAAATATAAACATAATCAACATTAGAATATTCATTGAAATGAGCAAATGAATTGTTCAATTATTTAATTAAAATTGATCGGAGTACCTGATGTATGAATGCATAACACCAATGCCTAATTCAAAATGTTGGAAAATCTGATCCAAATCCTCTTTAGCAATTGTTTCGGCATAAGCAAAACCGAAAATACCTTCCTCCATAGGTATTTGACGAATGCCAACCTCCACCACATCTGTTGTTCCTACATATGTTTCAAGGTACAACCTAAATCGAGGAACATATGCCTTTTTTGCCTCGGCCTTTTTTTAGTTGGACACCTTGATAGATTCAGGCATCTTACCCTTGTTGACTTGTTGCAACTCTTGAGCATGAACCTAAAAGTCATATAAGTTAGGTAATTAATGTATAAGATTATAAAGATATTGACATCAGAGGATATAATTATATTGATATTTTCTATGCATATATATATATATATATATATATATATATATATATATATATATATATATATATATATATATATATATATATATATATATATATATATATATATATATATATATATATATATATATATATATATATATATATATATATATATATATATATATATATATATATATATATATATATATATATATATATATATATATATATATATATATATATATCAATTAATGTAGTAGTACTTGTTTTTTTGATGCAGCTGACTCGGTTTTTCACACAATCCCCTTATCTTTTTATTTGGATTTTGTAGGAGTCTAAGATCATGATGTAAATAAATGGTACATAAATGTAAGAATAACTTACATGTATGGATCGTAAAACATTTGAATACTACAAGATTCATAATGGTGTTCAACCTACCTCATCATCTATGAAAATGAGATTTGACGGCCATGCAACATACGATCCTATTGCGTCTCCCACCAATGTTGCATCTGAAACATCGTCTGGTATAGGCAATAACACCCCCCTCTAAAGCAATATCAACCGATACTTTCAAAAATTCAGCAGGGAGCGGTTTATGGTGAAGCAAGTCTCCTAAAGTGTTATGCATTTTTCCCTTGCCAACCATGCGATAAGTCGGTGACGATAAATAGAGCCGACAATGTGAAATGCCTTAAACCAATAATGAATATGATTAATGTGTCAATTAAGAAACTTGTGCTAAATTAATTTCAATGTAATATATATAATTACCTTGGGAAGCTTCTGCTGAAAATTACAATTGATACTATCTTTGTCACTAGTATCTTTACACTCTGGACCGCGCCCTTCTGACATGTATCTCTCTTTGTCCTTTTGCAATTCACGAATTTGAGCTTTCAATTCTTCCAATGACTCCATCACTTGTTTATTGCTAGGATTTTTATTCTTTGGCTGCTTATACAATTTTTTTGGAGTGACATCAAATCCCTTACCCCTCACACGACCAGAATACTCAAGAATATTTAACACTCAGCTCAGTACGCTTCTGCAATCATCGTCCTTAGCTGCATTTATAGTTTGGGATAGACTCTCCTGAAATATAGATAAAAGCATAAATATATTATACGCATTTGAGTTTATGACAAAACTAATGTTGTACTTACACATTGCTCAAATACTTGTTGAACTTCTTCCTGAACGACTCCATCTCTACCCACATGGACAACCTTCCACAAAACATGGTCCGGAAGAGATGTTGTGTCACTTTTCTCCTCTTCTAACTACACAATAAGACAGATAATAAGCTTCACTTTTCTCATATTCTAACTATATCATATTAAAGCATTTATATATACTTACTATTATTTGTTGTAAGCGTGCATATCCCAAACGCCCTTTTTTGTATGGATATACGCGGGTTTTGATACTCGTTGCCGATTTACGTCACTCACAACCTGAAAAACAAGTTTAAGTCATATCAGAACTCATGTGAAAGAAGTATATATATTATACATTGTTCATGATAAGTTATAATTACATGGAATTCTTGGGTTCTTCGCTTGGCAACAAATGTTTCCCATTCTTCAATTGAAATTAGATCAG